TCCCCGCTAGGACAATCGGGGATCCATGTGAGAATGATGTGATTCTAGGGCATAAGCGGGGATTAATTTGGGGCCTGATTTTGCCCAGAGAGGGGGGGGGGTGAGCATGGCTCTGGGTTCTCCTGTAGAACTTGTCAGACCCCACATAAGGCATGATTTGCAAGGACGCACTGCATCCCTGCTGTCATTTAACCCGGGAATTAAATGCATTTGACCCGGGTTTAGGTGATGTGCAGTACTTGTCCTGGGGGGGTTATTCAAGTAGATGGGAACAGGGGGATATATCCTAGATTGTTATTCGAGAATACTCTAATGATTGCCATATATATTATCCCCGCGTGTTTCTTTGATCCGCGTTTTCGAGGGGGATACTTGTACCTCTTCCCCGTGATGAGGATTACCTGGGGCAACTATCCGCTGAAACAGTACTTGCGAGGGAAATTAAAGGGGCGTGCAAGGATTGCCCTTTGCCCCGCATCTGCGTGGGGGCTCGGATGAGGCTATTGAATCTAGTCAGAAGAGCCATACACACCAGCATTGTGACTGGGTTTCCATGAACCAAGGGGAGAGGTCTACCAACCGAAAGCCTCGCTCGTGAGATGAATCCTCGATATCCCAGATTACGAATGGAACCAGCTCTTTAGTCCCTTGGAGTACGCTAGAAAAGCAGATGAATAGTAGTTAGGGGGAGAGTGTGCTGTGCCTTGGAGAAAACGTAAGTGTTGCGTAGCCCCCAGGACTAATTCGCGCAAAGTGTCGCAGGTGGGGCAAGGGAGAAATACTAATATAGAGAGTCTTGGTAAGGATTCGCGACAGTATTCCAATTGCGAGTACGTTACGTAAAGTAGAGATCATTGGCGAATAGTATCCTTCCGCCGCATTACGTCTCCTAGCCAGTGCCACTCCGTGTATCCCACGGACCATCGCCCATAGGGAGCAAATTTTTTCATTTCCCACCCAATCAGTTAGGGAGGATATGGCAGTCCGAGGACTTCCTGTAAATACAGTGCCAACCCAGAGACTCCCATAAGTGAATAGTTACAGGTTAGGATCGTTCTTCCGTGTGCCAGGTTCATCCAGTTCTCTACTGAAGCAGTTCACAGCCGAGCACTCGCCATACCTTGACATTAAGCCTCGGAGACGGTGCGCCAGGACAAAGCAATCTGGGGGGACGTGTAGGAGGGTATGGATAGAGCATGGTGAGTTTCTTGCTTGCCTCCCTTTCGGATACATGCGCCAAAGGCTGTCCCACTTATTCTCTCGACTGCCGGGGCGGTTTGCGAGACCAGGCTACAAATCACACCGATGAACGGATTTCTGGGTTTACAAAGAAAGTAGATAAAAGTGCAGGAGGGGTTCAAAGATATTTTCAAATAAAATAAAAGTCTCGAGAGCAGTTGTGCTCTTCTGTAGCAATAACTTAACCCGAATTGACGACTTTCCCGCCATGAGAGCTGAGCCAACCGCTGATTTCTAATTCCCTTCCCACCCACCAAAAAAGCAATCGATACCGGACCCACTACAAGTGCGGAAAAGAGGGGCAAGTAGGTATCTGCGGAGTATGAATTTCTCGGCTTCTTTCTTCGAGTTAGTGTATAGCTTACGGAAACAATCTCTCACATTTCAGACCAGACTTGCAAGGTCAACCCCCAGGCCACTGGCAAGTAAAACTCCTCATAATCAAAAGTCTTCAGGAGCCTCTGAAGTCACACCTTTTCTTCCTCAGGCAGGCTAGTACACAGGCAGATACCACGGCAGAGTGTTATGAGCTCATGGGTTCGGAATTATTTCATGATATTATTCGTTTCAATGATGCCGAGTACTGTAATGGAGCATGTAACGGGGTTGGTTTCAGGTACTTTAGCGGGTCGAAGTAAGGGAGGTCTGGAAGGTTGGAAGGCCAGAAATGCGCCTTATCGCGGCCCTGTGGAATTAATTTGTGCTTGAAGAAATGACGAGTGATCTTTCGTGAGTCACGAATCAATTGAGTTCGAATCTTCACGTTACATTTGGAGAACCTGATCGCTTTTTATAATGACAGTCCTCAAAGTCAACTTGAGCTTGTGCCAGTTAAACCCTGACTTTCGGTTGCTTTCGTTGAAAGTGGGAAAAAGCATACGAACTTTGGCTACACCATCTAAATTCATCACTTTTTTGGCTCTAAAAGGCGCTGCAGAGGTCACAAGCTTGAAAAATATTTTACAAGCCACTAATATGTACTCTATGTGATTAGGAAGATGGCTAACCAAAAATAAATTATTTGTGGTGGAGTCCCGAAAGTCAGGTTTTAACTGGTACAGTACAAACTCCACTCCTCCTTTCTTTCTCCCTCCCTAAAAAAATGGTTATCATCCAAACCGCTACCACTTAGTGCCCATAATTACCCTAATCCTGTGAATTCGAACCTTGTATCCGTATGAATGGTTCTCTTGTGGCTCTGGGTATCGGAAATAGGTTTGGGATTTGTGTTTGTAGCTTCCATGGTAGACCATCAAGTATCTTCATGAGTGATACCGCATGACTGTTTGAGTCAGCTCCTCATGTATGCGCCTCCTGAAAGGCATCGTCCTCCTTTTTCTCTTTCTTTTCTTCATTTCTTCTCTTCCTTATTTTCTTTAATAGCATCAACGACAGAACCATCCGATTGTTCTACAAGGGCCGAAATCCTCTCAACGCCTGTCCTCCCTTCTTTCCACTTCCGACCATAAACCCCATCAGGGTTGTGTTACTTCTGGTGGGATAGGGGCTGACACAGAAACCCCCTTGCCGGTATGTCGGTCACCACAGATTAGGGTAATACTTTCATGTTCAAGTTGCCGTGTACCATACCCTTCTGATATTATTCACAGTCAGTCACTCGACTTATCTTAAAGATGAGTTTTGGAGTTGTTGCGCAAGGAGCGGGATATAGAAGATAAGGGAGTGAGGATGGATACGTGAAAGAGTATAAATAGAAGGCGGAGAGAACACACACACAGAGCGACTTTCGCCATTTCCCGGGCCCTCGTGGAATAAGCGGTAGGACAGGCAGCCTGATGTATGCATACTTTACATCGCATTGTTTAGGAAGTAATACTTCTGGCACTCCCCAATTTTAATAATTCCCTTTGCCATGTGGTGTCAGGAATACGAAAAATAAAAGTGAGAAATCCTATGAAACACATGTGGGGGAACCCTGTTGAAGAAAGTGTTATAGAACAAGGGAAAAACGGGCTAAAAGGGGGACGGAGTTAACGGTAAATCAATCGGGGGAGTGTCATCACAACTGTCAGTACTGTCCTAGTTACTGAAAATTTTTTAATTTGTTATGGCATTCAATGAAGGTGTAGCTAGAGTGTGATGTTAAGTAGTGACGGTAGGTTATAGCGTCAGCGATATCCTGAGCAGGTAAAGAGTGCTCGAGTTGAATATCACCATTTTCTTGAATTCATATATGAAATTAGGGGTGCTATCGACATGTATAGCGCGGTCATGAAACCTAGTGCTCTTAGTGAGCTTTGCAGTTATCTCGTTTTCTATATCAATGGCGATAGATGGATTTGTTGGTGGAGGAAATTGTAAGGGGATGTAACTACTTCTACTACTATTATGACAACCAGCACATCTATCATATAATCACCTTTTGCTCTGCCGAGTAGGATCTTGTGGGCAGCCCCGAAATTAGAGCCTTACTCATGCTGGTCCCTTCCAGAGTGGGGATATATCAAGATTTTGATGTTGGTTCGTGGGGTGGGGTTTTAAAGAATCCTCGATTTAGTATTGTATTAATTACCCACTGCTTCACCTGTGCCTAAAAGCATGATGATCAAACTATAACATTGTGAAGGAACAAAAATCCCCCCCCGGCCCTGATCTCAGATATCTGGTCCGTAATATTTCCCCATGGTCATGTCATCGGGGAGGTGTAAATGTCCGGCAATTTTTGTGAGAGCGCTGGACACTCCCCCGAATGGAAAGTCTTCACCGCCATGGCTCGCAAACGAAAGAGGTACGCTGGCAATGGCTTAGGGGGTGTTTGGCACATCAAAGATTGTAAGGTAATACCTTACAAACCACAGTTTCTAAGGTAGAGCAAACCACAGTTTGTAAGGTATGGGTAACTGCAATTTGTAAGGTATCCCTTACCAAACACCTTCAAGTTTCTATGATGGTATAAAAACCCCCCTGTAACCCTTTATACTTGTGCCCTAAATTGAATTTTAGATATAATTTCTCCCTCCTGATTCACTTTAGTCATACAATCTATCTACCTCAAATTTGGAGATTGATCTTCTAAATCTCACCCTTTTGACTTTAAGTAGTGAATGACAATGAGGCTAATTCAATAAATATATCATAAGAGGTTTAATTAGAGGCAAATTCAAGGTATTTATGTATTTTATAAATATCTCAACCATCAATTTTACTTGCAGCAGGATTTTTTTCAAGCCCTAATTAAGGTACCTTCAAACTGCAGTTCATAAGGTACAAAACTTTTACCTTACAAACTTTGTAGAGCCAAACACATCCTACCTTACAAGCTGTGGTTGCCAAACACCCCCTGAGACTGATTTGGCAAAGCTAGCAATCCCTAGAGACAGTTGATGCCCGGTGTCTGGTCTGGGCGGCAGGGTACCTTGTGTTGTAGAGTTCCTAACAGCAAAAATTTCACGACTTTTGTAGCCGGGTTTATTCTTAGTTCTTACTCGACTTTGCGCTTGCTTCTCTTCACATTGCAAACCCTGGAGGGCTGTGTACCGTACCAATTACCCTCTCTCTCAAGGACGTCGGTATAAAAGGTTTCCACTCCATCTGAAAGTTTCGTGGTGTGCTTTGAGTATGGAGCTCGTCCCACGTCGGAACCTTTCTGGTGGAAGGTGGAGTTTGAGACCTATGCCTAACTATTGAGCGAGGTCTTGAGTAAACGGATAGCTAAACTGAGGGTGTGGTAATAGTTCTGGTTCAACGGGGTAGGCACTCCCGGGCTGGCAATATTGAGGGGACATTTGCTTCCTGTTCCTCTGATAGTCTCACCTTCCCTTTGTTTTTTTGGAGTTGAAGCTCAGGTCGCAATAGTTTACATAAGTGTAATCTACCGCATTTCGCCATTAACATGATTCATTAAACTATTAATCTATTATACACGCCACATTTCTAACTAGAAGCCTTTTCTCCACTGCTTCTCCCCACCGCCTTACTCTTCTCATCCTCGAACACTGGCCTCCCCCCCTCGCCAAACGCCGCCCACTTAAAGTAGCCGCACCCCTGTCCAACACCTCTATACTCCCCATCGCAGCTCCAGAAATATTTCTCACCACCCCACACAGGGCGAAGCACCATCCTCCCACCGCAGCCACACGCCGGCGTAACCTCAGGGCCATAATCATCCCTGTACCACCGATATGTGATGGCAATTCTAATGTCTCCCGAAACCTCATGTTGATCAACCCTCTGAACCAGGGGAATGGAGTGCTTCCAATTCTCCTGCATCCCGGCGGTCATCACGAGCAAGCTATTGTGCGGAAGGTGGATAGCATAGGTACCCGAGGAATGGGAACTAGGTGGCTGCTTCTGGATGCGGAATTCCCGGGTGACGCCTAGTGAGAGCGTGCAGATTACGGCCCGGGGCCCAATGTATGTTAATGCATCGGTGTGGAAACCCACGCCTTGTTGCGGGCCCGCATAGCAGTTCACTAGAGCAGCCGTGATCCGCCCACGGGGTTCTAGTGTGCGAAAATACTTCTCGACTAGCCCTGCCGCCGTCGACATAGAGGGGGTGAATGCGCGCGGGGGAGGCAGGGTTATGCCTTGGTAGTAGTATGGCGTCGTCGCCGGGGTTGTGGTGTACATTACGCTGCGGTGGGGGGATCGCACAGTGCGAGAGAAGAGGTTGAATTTGCCCGGGGGTGGGAAGGTGGTTGATTCCTGGAGGAGTTCTTGCAGTAGGGTTGTTGCGAGAGGCGGTGGGAGGAAGGTTGTGTGGAGGACACAGGGTGTGTGCAGGGCTATTGAGGCTGGGGTGTAGAGATGCAGAGTTTGGCCTTTTGGTGGGGGTTTTGGTGCGGAGGCAGGCGCTGAGGCCGTAGTTGAGGTACTTTGAGTTGAGATAAATGATTCGAGCGAGGACTGGTTGGTTGTTGAAGGGGGTCTTCTTGCTTGGGAGGTGGTTTGACCGGCGGCTAGGAGTTGGCTGGTAGTTTTTATGGAGCCGTTGGTGGATAGTAAGATGTCCATGAGCGCTGCTGTTGATATCGATGGGTGGAGGGATGCAAGAATTGCAATCTTTGTGTCTGTATCTAGCTGCTCATCTCCCTCTTCGGGGACATACTCTGCGCTCGAGCTCCCGCCCGCATCAAGCTGGGAAGTCTCGGAATTTGCCGAAGAGTCTCCTCGGCCTCTCAGAGGCTTGGGCTCGAAGAAAGACGAATCTAGTGACTTCCTCAACTTCTTTCTCACAGGCGGCATTTTGTCTATTTGATCCAAGAAGGGTTGTTGAAGGAAATGAGGGGCAAATTTGACGTCAGGATAAATTCCGGGACTAGATCTGTTCGTGTCAACAAAGGAATTTGGGAAGACGCGTTGAGTGGTTTTCCCCGCACGTGACGTATAGGACTAGCACGACGCGTAACTATCATACTTGCCAAGACTTTTGAACCAGAGACCTCGGCTATGGGGGGCTTGAATTGCGGGTACTGCACACGAGTTGATACGGTACGGTACAGTGCATGGACCCAAGTGATCTGAAAGTGTCACGGCAAATTTATGATACTCCTGTCACTCAGAAGTGGTTGCCGGAATTCCAGTTACGAGCTGTTGTGCCATCACAGCTTTCCCAGCCGGCGAACGGACGTTCCAGCCCAGGGCCTGTCCCCCCACGAACCTCTCCACCCCTTCCTCTGCAAGAAAACAAACAAGGCTCCCTTCATCCACCGCATCCACCCCCCCCCCCGTTGGGCACTCTGCCCACAATGTTCCATTACCGGACCGAAGGCTTCAATGGCTACTCTGTAAAGTACTCCCCCTTCTACGACAACCGTCTCGCTACCGCCGCTAGCGCTAACTTCGGCCTTGTCGGAAACGGCCGATTATACATACTCTCCCTGACCCCATCGGGGATCCTCTGCGAGCGATACTACGACACACAGGACTCGCTCTTCGATGTTGCCTTCAGCGAGTCGCACGAGAATCAAGTCGCCGTTGCCAGTGGCGATGGGAGTATTAAACTGTTCGATACAGCGCTGGACGGAGGGTTTCCGATTGCGAATTGGGGAGAGCACAAGAGGGAGGTTTTTTGTCTTAGCTGGAATCTGGTAGATAAGAGCGGGTTTGTGAGCTCTAGTTGGGATGGGGATGTTAAGCTTGTTTGTGCCTTCCATCTTCTGTGTAAGGGCAGTAGCTGATGTCTTGGAAGTGGACACCAACCAGCCCCCATTCACTTCTCACAATCCCGATCCACAGCTGCACCTACAGTGCGCTCTTCTCCCCACACTCTTCAACCCTAATCTCCACCGCATCCTCAGACTCCACCGTCCGCCTCTTCGACATCCGCGCCCCACCTTCATCCCCCACCCTCTCGATCCCCGTATCCCCCCGCGCCCCCTCCGAGCTCCTCACTCAGGACTGGAATAAATACCGCCCCGACGTCCTCGCCGTCGCCGGAGTCGACAAAGCCATCCGAACCTTCGACCTGCGCTTCCCAAACAAAGGCCCTCTCTCCGAACTATTTGGCCACGAATACGCGGTAAGAAAGGTGGCCTGGAGCCCGCATTGGGGTGATGTACTCATTAGTGCGAGCTACGACATGACGGTCCGAGTTTGGAGCGACGGGAGTAGCAACGCGACAGATCCTGGGGCAGGCGGGATCGGATGGTTACCGGCGGGGCGAGGCAGGATGATGGGTGTCATGGATCGGCATACGGAGTTTTGTGCGGGCGTGGATTGGTGCTTGTTTGGTGCGGAGGGGTGGGCTGCTAGTGTCGGCTGGGATGAGGCGGTTTGGGTATGGGATGTGGGAAATGTTATAGGGAGTCGATAGGATTCCGCCGGGAGAATGGAGCCGGGATTGGGGATTGTAATACGAGTAATGTGTTTGATAAGTCATCGCAATAACCGCATGTGCGGTGTGAACAGGGGTGAGCGGGTGATATTAGACTCCTATTCCTGGGGAATAACCGTTTACTATTTCCCTTCTTCTCCTATCGCGAAATTGGTGGCCGATTGTGTGTACGCCCAAATCCGCTGGATCAAGAGTGAAGCGTAAGCATGACTCTGCTAGTGCATGTGTTATGCTTGTTTTTACAGTCAGCGCCGGGTGAGTCTACTATCGTGTTCGAGGACTCCCCGCCGGCACCAATAATCAAGCTGACTTACCAAGCATCATAGCGAAGGGTTGCGACTATTCCTCATAGACTCTAGATCGAGGACACTCCTAAACCAATTTTCGGGTATTCCGTGTTGCAATATCGTACGTATTACTTTAACCCGTCTCATGCCTGCCGCGGCAGGCTTTGCCTCAATGGAAACAAGATATCGTAAGACAAAAGACCAGGCCATGTTAGCAATAAGTCTCTCATGCGAGATGTTTTGTCCGGCATCATGTGCTGCACACAATACCATGTACGGTACAAGGCATACGACTCGAGCAGACCGGGGACTCGCATCTGGGCAGCTGCGCATAACTGGACAACAGAAAATCCCTACCTCTGTGTACTCTCCCTTCACTCAATGCCGGGACGAGATTGCGGGGCAAAATGTCGTCCGTCCTGGGATTAGAATCCTCAGGTCGGTGATCCTTGGGGGTGGCAGCGGGTAGTAATGCAAGTTCGCATAGGGGACTATTTGCGACTGGTGGGGGGGGGTGGTTACATGGTGTGGTGATATGGAGAAGAAACTCGTCTAATTGTAGGTTGGTAACCCCACAGTGAACCGTGGAAGCCACGATACAGCCATGCCATTGCCCAGAAGGACTTGCTCTGCCTCTACCAGTTATCGGTCTTCACCTGGCGATAGTGTCGGGTTTCACGCACTGGATTCCAAGGTTCCGGACCGGTAACAGCACTTTTACCGGGAGGTCTATGATACACGATGAGACTTCATTCGAGTGCTATGGGGGGAGGGCCATATGAAGCAATTTGCATTAGATTTTGAGGGGTGTAGCGTGGGGATGGTCTGTTTACTGTTTTTCTTTGTTTCCCTTTGTTGAATTTTCCGAGACGTGGAAGGTATCCGGCTGTGTCAATTCTCCGCGACCACGATAATTAGATATACTGAGGACCCGTTTACCTACAGACAGCCGCCCAGTGCGCGTTGGCAGTGCCCACCATCAAGGGGGTCTTAACGGTCGGTAGCGTCAGGGGCTCAATTCTCGTTCTGTGTTTATAATACCTAATGTGCCGTTTGCGGTAGTGTAGCGTCTGCCGCACTGCCCTAGCTTGAATCAAAATCTTTTACATGACACGGCTCGGAGGTGAGGGTTTTCAGCTTCCAATTCCCAACTTCCTCGCCCTTTCCACTATTTCTGGCTGGTTAAAATCTTAGGCCTAACTACCCCCTAATTACCACCTATACGAAAGACTCCTCAGGAAAGACTCCTTACGCCTCTCTTCTAGTGGGACTTCTTCACTTGCTTCGACACAATGATCCAAATCTGTCAAGGGGCCACCCAAAAAAAAAAGGGCTATGAAGGTAGTCGACAACGGTTCAAAGAAAAGCCGCGCAGATTGGTGGTAGTGGTATGGCAATTCTGGGCATGACAGGTCCCAGGCATAGTCAGGATGTATCAGTTTTTGAGGTTGGCGCATACCAACGCCGGGTATCCCTCATAATTCCCCACGCTAGGGCCTCAAGGATCATGGGAGTAGCAGTTAGTGTATTGAGTAACGCGCCCCGTGTACCTTTCGATTCCCCACGGTAAGAAACAACAGTGGCGATGAGCACTGTAGAGGGTTGGAAAAGCTGATCCTCGATCCTGACGATTTTTGTTTTATGGAACGATTAACCTGATTCTCAAATATTATATCACAGGCCATTCGAGACCCTTGTCCGCGCACTTTAGTCGTGTCAGCTTGGTAGTTCCATAATACGGGCGATCTCTTCGGTTCCATCAGTGTGAGACAGTTTCTTGTGGGTGATGGCCTGGCCATTGTGTGCGAGCTCCAAGTCCTCCGGCAGCTTCGAACAACGCCCAGATGGGACGACAGAATTTCATCCACCCGTGGTCCGCATTCAGGGAGGATGGATTCACTATTTCAGAGTACTAGGTCTTGCCGCCCTCCTGAGTGGCAGGGCATACGGATCCAAGGAGAGAAAAGTCGCCCGCTACGCTGTTACTGAAGAAAGGGGGTATCTAGTGATGCTAGCGCGAGAGAGTGGAGAGAGAAGAGTTGGGGCCGCGCTGAGGAAGGGGGTGGGGGGCGCGGCGATGCCCTTGGTTGCTTAATTGAGGTGCAAGTGACTGGAGCAGGGGATCCGCATCGGGCTACGTATTTCATCATGGTTTGGGATTCAGACTTCATCTCTTGATTCTACCCAGAGCAAAAAACTTCCCGGTTTCTAACTAGACCCTCACAACTAATAGATTATAGAGGGACAAACTCTCATCGGAACTCGGCATTGGACTTTTACCTCGTTTCTCCTTCACTCCGGTTCGTCCCCGACTATTGCTCGAGCCACTTCTGGCTGCTTGATCAGAATTTTCCAACCTACCCCCCCACTCTATAATTATTCGTACCCTTAGCATCGCAAAAAATCCTTCGTACCCCTTTCCAAGGTCGCCGCATGCACCTCCCTGAACTGCTAAGAAACATACGGCTCTTCCTATCAGACAGCTGTGTGATCAGCCGCAACCTCTAGTCAGGGTCAACTTGGGAATAAGGGGAAATAGCATGGCACCGGAGTTCAGGCTATTATTTTCAATATCATGGCAGCTTTATCATATTCATCATCGCCTATCACTCGGAACATTTCTCTACGATAGGAGATTACCGAAAGTTTGTCTCGGAGGATTTGCTGGTTGCAAAAATAAAATCGCGAAGAATTAAAAAGGTAGGAAGACACAATGTAAGGAATTTCCGGTACAAACTCAAAGCTGCAGAGCCCAAACAACTAAAGGGGATAGTAACACTAACACCGCAAGGGCGCAATCGACCTACGCACTCCAAACACCAACTGACATCATTTCCGGAATAGAATCTAGAGAATCGCAACCACAAAGGGTGGTCCGAGTAGGGCACCCGCAGTGGTGCTACCTCCCTCCCCCGCACCAGAATCCGGCCCTCGCCCGGCCTGGCTGCCGAGAGCCTGCGACTGCTCATCTATCACCTCCCAATCAGACAAGGTTTCAACATAAACCCCCATTACCCTACGCACCAGTATGCCCTCCCTCCTCCCTTCTCCTCACCCTCTCAATCCAGGCCATGATCACAACCACCGGCTTCACCGCCTCCAGAATCCTATCACACGGGCCGTCAGTCCTCCATCCCTCTCGTTCACATTGTCAAAAATACCTAGCTCTCCCACCCGGGCTTGCCCATATTGCAGCGGTAGCATCGCGATCTAGCAACAGACGGACTTCGTCACTGCCCATGAACGTCTCGAGCCAGGCGTACCAGGGATCGGTGGTGGGGGTTCCGGGGTAGATGGCTGGATTTGGGCCTCTACGAACGTAGGCGTGGAGAGAGATTTGTGTTTGGAGGAGGTCGTGGAGCTGTGCCCATTGAGTGGGATCGAGGGGGATTGAGGCGGAGTAGAAGGTGGTTGGGACTTGGGACATTGGCTGCGGTTGGGGTGTTAGTGTGGGGCCGTGAGGGGGGGGGGGGTGGGTGCTAACCTGGTGTTGACGGATGGAGTAATTTGTGCATGTGAGAAGGAGTCTTGCTGCTAGTCAATCACAGAGGGTAACGAAGGAGTTTTAAGAGCCTTGGGGGGAAGGCCGGAACGAAGGAGAAATAGAAAATTGTTATCAAAAAGAAAGGGAAAATAAGCTCCTTTTGGCTCGAACCCTTCGTCAATTCAAAAAATGTTTTGTAGAATTTCTTTTGATAAAACTGCGAAGAGTGTTTTCAATTGATAGTTTGCCAAAAAAAAAAAGACCATCTGACTACTGTGCATAACCCATTTTAGAACGGTTATTTTCTTCAGTGCTTGCCATAACATTATTTCTCCATAGTATGTTATTTGATATTATATAAATTATCAATTTGTATTGATAGAATCTGGTAAAATATTTAACATTGTTTTTTTTTAAAAAAACTATAGTTAGAATTTCCTGAAATGCGTTTTCAATTTAGAAAACCAACCGACAGAGTGCCAAACACTCTGTCAATTCAAAATGCCTTTTGGGCCCAAAACACGTCTCCAATTCACAAATGGCTTGAGCCAAACAGAGCCGAAGGTCCTGGTTGGGATGTGGTAATATAAAATAAAGTCTTTCTTCTTCCGAATCCGGATATTATTAAGGCTTGAACCCCTTTGACTAAAGGAGCACAAAAAAAAAACCTACCGACATACAGGCTACTTCAATTGCTCCTGTGATGAGGGGGAAGAGCCATTGTGAGGCCTGGAGGTCGCCCTATGGTCAGAGGGCTCTAGTGTCAGGAATCAGGATACCGGTATTTCATCCTCAACAGAGATGCCAAGATGCCAGAAAATAGTAGTTTTTATGGCGGATATAACAGGGCTTACAAAGAGGAAAAAAATGGAATCGCGAGTGCTCAGCTCTACCATGACTTTTCGCTCTCGGGCAGAAAAAATGTTCTCGGACGGCGTAGGCTGGGGGGCTGATAGCCGATGGTATTATACTTGTAACCCATACCGTCCGGTACAATGAAATGATCAGCAGGCACAGTGCCCAGGTGTCTGACCGCGCGAGGGGCTTCGGGATATACAGAAGGTTTACCGGGAAACCCTCTGGGATGCCGTGTTGGTTTGTTAGCTAACTAGTTATGGGCACTAGCAATGGATTTCGTGTGGCCCAGAGTTCCGGAACTTCTCGCAGGGAGACCGGAAACTAGATATCGGAAGCACCAGGAAATG